GTGAGCCACCGCGCTGGCCTACTTTTTCCCTTTCCCCAAACTCCATTAAAATGACAGTGGAGGGATTTTTGAATAGATTCACAAAGATATGAGAACCGAAGAAAAGATGACAGCAACCACATTTTGTAATTTTATTGTTTGATTACAAACACGGATAGTGATGAGGGCTAAGATGCTAGTTTTAGTGGACACTTGCTGTTTGGGCCATGTAGCATCTACTACCCCTTCCTTTTGTCAGTAGTATCCCAACTTTAATTCATGTATCCACTCTCATTGTTTATTTGGGCTACTATAACAAAATACCACCGACTGGGTAGCTTCTAAAAAACAGAAATTTTATTTTTCACAGTTCTGGAGGCTGAGAAGTCCAAAATCAAGGCACCAGCAGATTCAGTGTCTGGAGAGGGCTCGCTTTCTCACAGATGGGGCTTCTCATTCTGTTCTCACATGGTGAAAGGGGCTAGCTAGCTCTCTAGGGTTTCTTTCATAGGGGCGCAAATGCCATTCATGACGGCAGAGCCCTCATGACCCAATCAGATCCCAAAGGCCTCACCTTCTAATACCATCACTTTGGTGATTAGGTTTCAACATATGAATTTTAAGGGGACACAAACATTTAGGCCCTAGCATCCACCCCTCCCCTGTGGGTGGCAGAGGAAGGTATTAATAGTTCCCCAGTTCTCCTGCTGGTGGTCTTAAGCCAGTCAGCATACGGAGAACATTCATCAAGGAATAGACATATGGTCTGATTGGGTCCAGTAAAAGAGAGGGGGAATTTTCTTGGGGCTTATAGAATAGGAGCTTCTCTCTTTTAAGAGAGATGTAACAGAAAAGATATTTTCTCCATCTGCACAGTGTGGTATAATGACATGACCTCTAGAACTGCTGTAGCCATTTTTGCTACTGCCAGGTGACACGTCCGACACATGAAGGAAGGTAAAGCCAAGAAAATCAGAGATGATGTGACTCTCTGAATCACCTTACCTTTGCACTGTTGAGTTAGATAATTCAGTAAATCCCATTTGTTGTTTAAGTCGTTTTTTTTTTTACAGTTTTTTAAACTTTATTTATTTTTCATTGAAATGCACAAGTCTGGGCAGTTAAATTTTG